ATTAATATTAGAGACTAATCGAAATGATTCATCACTTTGAACTATATCCTATATTTGTATAGAATGAAGTTTTATTCTGTATATATTAGATGTAGAACATAATATTGACAGCGATTGCAGTCAGATGATTGAATGCATTATATTATTGACCGAAAGTAAGTTCTGTGACATTTGAAAAATAATTAATAGAACTGTTCGTGATTTGTGTAATGTATCCATAAAGATAATGAACTATATCTTAATTTGTTTCATGATCCTCAGGTGGACAGTAATTTTCATCCGATTCCCAATATCATGAATAATGGATTTTCCTAATAAATTAAAATTAATACAAATATAGTATTTTTGATAGTATACTGTCACATATTCAGAAAATCAGAGATTCTAGCAGAAGAAGCAGTATATGTATCCTCGTCTCGCTCAGACTTGAGAGTGTGGGTGTGGCTGTTGGTGTTTGCTATGAAACAGAATTACCTGCACCTGCGCCTACACCACTACCCACTACCCACACCCACACACCTTCTTCACTAGTGTCCGACTCGGATCGGGTCAGATCTCAAGTCAGGTCACGAACAAACGTATTTCACCTCGAGTCAGGTCGAGTCGGGTCACACAAAGTTTACGAATTCCGAACTTCACATAAGAAAAACAGCAATTTTAGAGGAGATAATGATTTCTTTATTTCGAATATCAAGAGAATATAAATCGATTTACTCAGAAGATTGATAATGCCTGAAAAAAACTGATCTTGGTTGGCTACAAACTATTCCTCGCATCGGGCGGGTCTGGTCGGGTTACGAAAAATCTTTGAGTTCGAGTCAGATCGGCTCACAAAAAAATGATCCATGTCGAACACTGTTCCTCACATTGTCGGATAACTATTTTTTAAGATATTGTAAAGTTTCAGATTTTAAAAACAAAATTTTCATAGCAATTTTAGTAAAGAAATCCGATACTTTTCAAAAGTGGAAAGTCACGACCCACTCCCGGGTCTTCCTCATGGTCACATCTTTGAATCCCTATACAGTTTCTAGTATTGTTAAAGAATTTATAAAGTTCAATAAAGGATAATTGTAACATTGATGAAGAAAAAGTTTAATTGCGCTTTTCTTTCGTTGAACTGTTGTTTATTAGAAATAATTTTTTTGTATTAGTTTTCATAATGATGAAGAAGACATCTGTGTTTGATATTTGAGTTTTTTAAGATCTGCATTAATAAGTTTGTCATCAGAGAATGATCATTCGATCATGAAAATTGACTTTTTCCAATTTTGTTAAAAAGTGATTTTTCCTATAAATCTATCAAATTTTTTTCAATAATAAAAAACTCTAATTCTTTCTTAGTAAATTTCTATTTTCACTAAACTGACGATTAAAACAAATTAAAACAAAACAAAACAATTCAGTGTTAACTCCATTGATTAATCAGATAATTAATTTTGATACATCGTAAGAGTAAATCGAATTTGGGTGTAGGTATGGGTGGGTGCGGGTGTGGGTGGGTGTAGATATGGGTATGTGGGTATGGGTGTGCTGGGTGTGGGTATAGATGTGGCGAATAAAACAGGCTCAACACTGACACTAACACCTACAGCCACACCAACACTAACACTCCCATACCCACACCCCCAAGCAATAATAAAAATTGAACCATAAGTCGTACAAACTTCACCGACGTGTCTTTTTGTCGAAAAATGTTTTGCTCTACAATCTAAACTATTTTAAGAACTTCGCGTTTTTTTTTTTCATGATCAATCATTTCTTCTATAGAAAACTGCAAAATTTCATTTTTAGTCTCGCTTGTGGGCGTGTTGGTGTTGGTGTGTGGGTGTAGGTGTGAGTGTTGATCCTGTTTAACTCGCCCCACCTACACCCACATCCGACATCCACACTCACACACCCATACCCTCACCCACACCGACACCCACACCCATATTTGTGATTGACTTTATCTCAATGTATGCGTGTATGTTGATAATAGCTTAATTATTATCATCTTTTCATCGCTCTCTGACGAGAAAAAAAAAGAAAATTATCGATTTTTAACATATAAATATGAATGATTTTCTATGTAAAATCATTCAATTTATTGAATCAAATAATAATCTTTTCTTTTTATAGTTTAGAATGATTTCAACGATACAAAATTATACAATTCAATTCAAATCAAAGCCATTAAAAAATGTAGGTATTAGTTTTTCTTTTTTTCCTTTTTACGATCATATGGAGAGTAGTAAGTCCTCATATGATCTTTTTTATGTATTTTCTTTAAATTTTAGCCGTTAATCAATCAAGAAAAAGATAATAGAGGGTAAGTCATCTTTTTTTTTAATCATTTAATATTTTTTTCTTTCCTTTTTAGAGACGTCATCATTCAACATCAACGGATGAGTATTTTTTTTTTTCTTGAGATGAGACTCAGTTAAGTGAGTGTTAGAGGGGGAGGGGGTACGTTGAGGTTAGGTTCGCCTTATAAGAAGGACTTCCGGGTAGTCTCTAAAAGCCCGGCCAGGAACTGCTTTGTTGTCCATGGCAACACGATCAGACCCCCAGACTCACTGACATATGACATCGGATATGTGTATGTGAATGATGTGGGTCTTCCCGCGCGTGCATGAGCATTACGCTCGCCATGGCTTCACCAGAATGGTTGCTGGTCGCGCGCGCGCGAGAATAGAATAAATTTCAATGCATTTTTTCATTCAATCGCAATTTATTTGAAAGAGGACAAAAAAGAACGAAACAAAAAAATTAATCATACGAATTGAGTTTATGCGATATTAAATTTTTGTACTCGATCATTTCCCTGATCGACGACATAGAGATTACCATGTCGATCGAATGATAAACCTGTGGGAGAATAGAGTTGATTCGATTGTGCTCCTTGTCCGTTTCCACCAAGAATGACACTTCCTTGTGTGGCACCTTTTGACCAACGCATGATTCGATGATTAGAAGAATCAGTCACATAGACAGTACCCAATTGATCAACAACGATTACATTAGGACCATGCAATTGTGTAAGACTATTTCCTTCTCCTTGACCACCGGCTACGATAATGCATTGTGTTGCACCTTCTTCCCATTTCATGACACGATGATTTCCCCAATCAGACACATAAACCGAATGATCTCGATCGACAAATACGGATTGGGGAGAAGAGAGTTGATCGAGACGATTTCCTTCTCCATTGCCACCTGCAACCACTGTTCCTTGAGTATCACCAATTTTATATCGTCTCACTTCGTGTTTTCCTTCGTCAACGACATAGAGAGAACCATTGTCATCCATTGTCAAACCATAGCAAGCGATATTTGAAATAATTGTTTCTCCACGAGTACCATTTCGCCGAGGCCATCGAACTACTCTTTTATTCCAATAATCGCAGATGATGAGACTATCGTTCTCTTTGTTGATAATCACATCTCGTGGGCCATTTAATCGATGAGCTCCCTTTCCTTCTCCATTCCCACCAGCAACTACTTTGCCATTCGTTGCACCAGATTTCCATTCCATAATACGATGATTAAACAGATCAGCAACATAAATCGTCTGATCTTCGTCGATGTACAAACCCCATGGGTACGAGAGTTGATTGGTTTCACTGCCTTGGCTATTTCCTCCAGCAACAGTGATACCATTCTTTGACCATGTTGCATTAGGATGAATATCAATGGAATTTGCACGCATTGGTACTGAAATGAAGAAAAAGTATGAAGTAGAAATAAGCATTGATTTCATGTTGCTAAGAAATTCATGAGATATTTGTAATTTAATTGATACGATCAAAAGAAATATCTAATTTTTTGTAAACATATTTATTGAATGTAATTGTTCTACTTTTACAATAATTAAAATTTTTGTGTTGTTTTTTTTTGTTCAGGACAAGACTTTCAAAGAGAAAAAGAGAATAAAATCTATCGCATCATTTTAGTTTTTATTTTTTTTACTATATTAAAACATTCCATTATCAATCTATACGAAAAAATAATTTCAGAAGATATGAATTATAAATCAATGAAAATGTATTTTTATTTCTTGTGTTTTATTGATAAAAAAATATACGATTTATTAATACTCATAAAAGTGAAAATTTTATTTTCTACTTATAGATGAAAATAAACATAGTCGAAATTATTGATAATAAACAAAAAATAGATATGAGTGTTTGAAATATAAACAATACAACTGAATTTACTGTTTTATCTATTAGTCTTTGTTTGACTCAGTGTTTCTTTTCAGTCAAAAGAACAATGAAGAAATCTTTGCTCAATAAGTGTTTATATTTTATATAATAGTCAAAAATAGAATTCGAAGTTCATACTGAAAGTCAAACTTGGGAGTATATCCTCTATATTACAATACAATGCAACCATGTCAATAAAATTAAACTTTTAATTTGAATTAAGTTGAATAGTTAGAATTGTAATTCATCTCATGGAGATAAAGCTAGAAGTTATAAATATTAATACAAAATTCTTTTTCCTCAATGATACTTGCTAGATGAAATATTCTTAATTTCTTTTTACATTCATACTGTGTAATACAGACAAACGTAGATCCTTTAAAAAAACAGGAACGAATGTAACTTGATGTACAAATTTATGGTAACTTGTAATATTATATAAAAATTCATGATCGTTATACAGAATAATTTTTCTTATCTACAGGCAATCATATTTTTATCATCAGCTTCGTGTCTTCAAATTATTCAGACATCTGCTTATACACACAAACTCCATTCATTTTAAATAGATACGATCTATTACACTGTAAACAAATTTCGAATAAATTACTTGTTTAATTGATTAATGAGGTCCATCTTTTCTCTCATATGAATCTATTTCATACCGTTCTGAATTCTATGTATGATATATGTATAAGATCTAGCTGACAATGTTATTTCAATGAAATTGAAAAGATGGCTCATCATTTATTTAAATCAGAATATGTTATTTGTGGTGATTTAAAGTATTTCTTAGAATTTTTTTTATCGTATCTATGTAACATTAATTTCTAAATAGACTCTTTCATTTCATTTAATGATTGATCAATTTCAAGTGAAATCTAGTGTCTATAGCAGTGAATAACATAACGAATGTCGTAAAAAATAGTTCTGTTTATATTTTCAACATTTCTATCTCTTAGTAGATCAAATAACATTGTTCTTATTTTCTTTGAAGAATTTCCTTTAAAACTCTATAGAACATAAAATCATTTATTTCTCTCAATATACATAAAAAGTTTAACGAATAATATCTATTTTGTGAACATTTTTATGACGTGTTTTGGTTAATTCATTCTATTATTGTCACGCCAAAAGAAGAGAAAGATATACAAGTCAAAACTGTTCATTAAGACAGAGTTTATTTTGTAAAAGTTGATATGAGATGCCAGTTAGAACATTTCCAAAATGTTTATTAAAGGATTACACAACTAAAACACTATGAAGATGGGCAAACAATAATACTTTAAGATGTGCACTCAATTTCATCAAATGTTAACGAAACAATAGAAATGAATAGAATTGATTAGTGAGATAGAGGGTGTGGATGTGGGTTCTATTCGTAATAAAGTAAGTGTTTAGCAATCCTTTTCACATTCTTTCATTTTGCAATTGCACTAATTTAAAACGTTAAAATGTTTGAGCTTATTTAGTGTTATAGAAAAGTATCGAAGACCATTATACTATAAGCACATACTTTTGGAAAACTCTGAGTGAGACATTTTTTTTAGTCAAAAACAATATAGATATTACTTTTTCATAAAGTTCAGAAAAAACAAATCAGTTGCCAATTATGAATCGTTTCGAAAATTCACTAGTTGTAATAAAAATTATATCCCAATTTTAAATAGTCTATTACATAACTACATTACTAAAATATGAATCGTCTACTTATCTTTATAATCTTACATTTCAAGTTTTTCAACAGTAATTGAGAAAGTGTAAATTAACTCTAAATAGGCTCCAATGAGCTGCTACCTTGACGTATGTTGATTAGGTTACGTTTTCCGATTCTTTTCTTCTATGTTTTTAGAACTAAATAAATTGTACGGATGAGTTTATTTCAGAAGAATTATGTAGGTTAATCTTGAAAAATTTTCAATATACCTATATGAAATAATCATTTGTAAAATTAGAATAAGATCCGTAGCTTCAGATTGAAGCTAGAATGAGTTTAGGTTATTTAGAAGATAAATAAATATGAATTAAAACAAGACGAGTTGAAACCAATGAATTAAAATGAAATTCTCTAAAGATAATTCGATTTTCAGAAATTTGATCGATTTCAATTATTATTCTTATAGAAAATTTTGGGAAAAAAATTTCAAAAATGATCAATACTACGATTTTCTTTTTCAAATTTTTATTCTATTTCATTCGTTGCATAAAAGATTTTCTAGAAATTTTTTAAACGATTTAAATTCATATTAATTCTAGAGTTAAGTCTGACATTAAATTTTCATTTTCATAACTGGGCTGATGTGTCTATATTTGTAGAAAAAATTTGAAATATATATTCATATTTTCGTTTAAAGTCGAATAAAATTTCTATTTAGTTTCGCTAGATCTATTACAAAGACATTTTTTTATTGTAATTAGGTTTGAATTTCCTTCTATTCTCGATATTTCGAATAGTTACAAAAATATGATTCGATTTAGTGAAAAAGTTTACGTATCTTATTTCATCATACTCTTCATTATTTTAGTAAATAAAAATTATTTCTAACGTAAGTTGTAGAAAGCCGTGAAAGAAACAAGATTTTTTTCTAACAAAGAGAAAGAGAAAACAAAATTAATTCTTGTTTCATTTATTTCAAAGTGTTCTACGCAACATACACGTAGGCACAAGCATAAACACGATCCGATTGTATAATGATCACACAAAAAGATCTATTTTTCTTTTTTCTTTTTTTATTCAATATAAACTATACCTTTTCTCAATATTGTTGTTATTATTATTGTACTTAAAACATTCGAATGTATTATATATTCCAAGTTAAAAATTAGATTATCGACATTAAGTATAGTAGCAACATATTCAATACAGGCAAAATACGTCGTTTGAAAAAAGTTATGACCATTTACAAAACAATCTGTAACTTTTCAAAAGAATATGAAGATTATCGGAAATATTATAGGATTACTACGAAGAGAGTATCTTATCATTCTTTTTCGGTAAACTTTCATCATTAAGAAAATGTGAATGATACATTTTGAGGGTGGGTGGGTGTGAGTATGATTCTTCTATTTATCTACACCCACACCCACACCCACACCCTATGTCGTATCGAAGTTACTTCAAATGAGCTCAATGCTACACATAAATATCAATTATTTGATGGTACTAAAAACGATGTATAAAATTATAACAAATTTCTTGTTTTTGAAAATATTGATATCGCAGTTTTTTATGAATAAACATAGACGGAATTATAGAGAAAAATCAAACATCACTATATGTTTAATATTTGATATATTCAGGTCGAAAAAATACGTTCGTAAACGGCTGTATACGAAGAAATACATCTAGGAATGGTGATCTTATACGACCATATATGATCGTAAGTTAGTCGTAAATTCCAAGGTTAAAAAGCTGACGTCAGATCATGCAAGATTCGAAAAGATCTTACCCTTATAAGATTTTCTCTATGAGCTTGTTACAAGAGCATATGATTTTTTATGTGTTCACTTTTTTTTTAAAGATTTCCTCAAATTCGGACTATAAGATGTTAGCAAAAATCTTACAAGATTTAAAGATTAAGAAACACATAAGTACAGGCTGAATGTTTCTTCTCAGGTCTTATCAGATCATATAAGATACATGTAACAATAAACATATGACAGTGCATAATGTAGATCTTGTCTGTTCTTATCTGATGATGTATTGTCTCTTCTGTTCTTTAACTTATTCGAGAATTGTTAATTCGATTAGTTTTACTATGAAGAAGAGTGATTTAAAAAACATGATTAAGCTGTGCACTTAATTTGTTCTCGTACTTTTCTCTAATCATTATATAGAAAATCTTAACTTTCATTTCTAATCTTCCCAAACTGATGGCATAGGAAATGGTAATTTAATTTTAATCTTTCTATATTTAATAAAATTGAAAATCCTAATTTTCATTTTTTATTTTTCTATATTTGATATTATATAAAATCCAATTCATTATTTTTCATTTTTCTATACTGGTAGTATAGAAATTCCCATTTTTATTTCTTGTTTTTCTATTTTGGCAATATAGAGAATCCCATTTTTACTTCTCAATTTTCTATATTAATAATATAGAAAATTATACTTTTTAATTCTTATTTTCTACATTGGTAATATAAATAACAATTAGTTTTAATTTTAATTTTTCTATGTTGGTAATATAGATAACAGTTAGCTTTATTGTTTTTATTTTGTATATTCATAATATAGAAAATCAGATTTTTTATATATTTTTTCTATATTGATGATATAGAAACAGTCAGTTTTCTGTCTTATTTTTCTAAAATGATAATATAAAAAAAGCTAATTTCTATTTCTCATTTTCCTATATTGCAGATATAGAAAGTCCTATCTTTTATTTTTCTATATTGATAATATAGATAACAGTTGGTTTTATTTCTTATTTTTCTATATCAATAATATAAGAATCTTAATTTTCATTTCTTGTTTTTCTAAATTGGTAGTTTAGAAAAT